TTCAAACCAAGTCTAACTGTCAAAGGATGAAATTTCATACTAAATAATAAAAGATGGATTTTATTGATGTAGTTGGTTTGACAATGAAGCTATCAATTATTAAGCTGCCACCAAATGTTCCATTGTTCGTTTCTATTTATGCGAACAATGTATCAAGCCTTGTGGTAGTGTACCGAATCACCGGGCAGAGTTGCCGGAACTCCTTCAAAAGAACATGATATGATAGCTTCAAGAATAGAATCCATTTATGACTAAGTATTACTCCATTTTATTATATTAGTTGTTTAGGCCTTTACACTAGAATTAAGATAATAATTAATTATTTTTAATTTTAGCGGTAAATAAAATAAAAAGATTATTTTACTATCTTCTTTTAAGAATTTTATCTTATCGTAAATTCTATTTATCAGTTATTTTTTTTTCTTTTGGTTTTCTCCTTCATTTATCGTTTCATTCGTTGTAGAACATGTCTATACGATTCCAAGTTACCAACACCTTCATTTAATTCAATTCCACTTATTTTTCATTTTAATATTACCAAAGTATATTCTAATATTTGACTCTTTAATTTTTGTTTCCCTTAAAAAAAAATTACTTATAAAATTCTCTTCATCTCCAAGTTGATGCTCCTCCCAATATTAATAACTGCTGCTATGGCAAGGCAACAAATGCCTTTAGGTGAATTAGATCTCAACATTGTACCTATTATTGCGGAATATACACACAAGTAAAGGAAGCAAGAGTAGATTTGACGCATTGAGAATGGAAGAAAAATTAAATAATCATTTTGAAGAGTCTTCCAGAATTGAGATGAAAGGAAGGAAGGCAAAGAGTCTATTATAAAGCTTAGATTCATTAAGTCTTTATTGGAGGATACAAGTGAAAATAAAAATGAAGAAAATCTTGGTTTATTCAAAATGATAAATAAATAAAAACAAAAGATGGCAGTTGTGGTGATCTCCACCTTAAACGCACAACATATCAGAAAGAAGCTAAAGGTGCAACACTTTTCCTTCATATAATGCCACACAAACACAAAAGGAAGATTAGAATTTTTCTTGACAATAATATCAGTAGAGTGATATTTTTAGTTGGTGAAAACAAGTCAAGACGCTACAGACTCTTAACATATAATATCAATCAATAATTTGAATCATACAATTAAGTCGATGGCCACTGAAGTTGTTCTTGCCTCTCCACCAACAATTGTGAGAGATACGGCTATGGTGGTGCATGTGGTGGGTTGAACTGGTAACAGCCTTGAAAGGTGTTAGTGGCAACCGTGGTTGGTGGCGCATAAGAGAGATCGTGGGCTGCTGTTGGGTTGAGGGGTTTTGATGGAAGAATGCCAGCAGGAGGGGTAGCCGCGAATGAGAATCCTGATGATGCTGCAGTGGAGAACAGTGGCATTTGGGTGGCACTAACCTGACCATTCACTTGCCACGCCCAAATAGGGAGGCCTTGGGAAGAACCTAAATCGTTTCTCTTCATTGTTTCCTTTCCCTGCCAAACAATTCATACAACATGAAGGTTAACTGGTGAAGCAAATTTTATCTATCAATCAAGCAGTCCATACAATAAATGTGCATCAGGAAATATATATCAACTGGAACATGTAAGCATGCTAGGCAGTTTTTTTATTTTTGGTTTTTCTTTATGGAAAATGCTAGTCATTGTTACTATAGCATTTTCATAACCAAAAACTCTCTCTTGCCTTCCAATGTATGGAACAAAGGATTTGTGTTTCATCAAGAATGTATTTAACTCAGCCACAAGGTATGGGCAGAAACTATTCAATTTAATTCTGATATCAGGGTGACGAAGATGTTGAGAAGATTCAGTCACCACAATAGTGCTAATTAAATAGAAAATGTTTGTGCTACCAAAGTTGTGAGCTATTTCATACAAATAATCAAAAAGAACAAACAACGTTAAAAGATTTAGAAGCTAAGTCATGTGGTTTACCTCACTGGGAAAGAAACTAGGACATACACCAGTCCAGAAAATAGGCTGCTCTGGAGTCTTTGCTGGTCCATTGAAGGGCATACCAGTCACAGTAGGATGCTGTATCTGCAAAAGCATCTCAGACCGAACACAAACTATGAATAGCCTCTATAAACTAAAACAAGGAAGATATTTATTTCAATGTCTACACAGTACGGACACCTATAGTAATTTCTAATTGAAGCCCAGCAAGGTCTTCTTTAATCACAGCTGTCTATATATAAGTAGAACAGCCCTCTCTATATATCAAATTATAGAAACAGAAGACAAAGTATAATGGAATAAGTTCAATTCAGAAAATTACCCCCAAAATCCTTCCACGGTCCACATCATAAAGGCTAGATTGAAACTGGAGTTGCCCCTCGTTTTCCTTGGGACCATTGCAAACAGGTGGAGAAATCCCCAAGTTCAGATCAAGTTCATTATCATTCACTGCATGGACAGGGGTATATCATGTTAGCTTCTCAAGAATACTAACAAATTAAAAGGAAAATTAGTTATCACAAGTAGCAACAAGAATTAATACCTTCATTACTGGCCTCAAAAGTCATCTCACCCTCATATGTACTTGGCTCAAAGTTGGTGACTGCCTCCCTTCCATTACATTTGATAGCTGCCTTGTCATAAGCCCTGATTTCCAGAAAAGTCAAAAGGTAGACAAGTGTTGGATGGAACCATATTGAGGTTGAGAATTTAGGATAATAAATTCATATCAGGTAGAGTGTAATTCAAGATGATTAGGACCTTGCAGCTTCTACTTCACTGTCGAATAGCCCAAGATAAATATACCTGCACGCAAGGATTGTAATCTCCATGATGAAACACCTTCCCCAATCATATCTTCTTTCAAATAGGCATCTTAGAAATGCTTTTCCATTGAAGGAAAATACAAAAAAATTCCACCGAGAATTAGTTTCAAACTAATTCTCAGGTGACACTAAGAGGCACTCAAAACTTCATATTTTGTATAATAACGTTAAACCAGAATTAAGTTCCACAAAATGGTTGCTCACTTTTTACCAAGGAATTGCCCCATTCGTGCTTCCCACCTGCCACATTTGTGCAGTGTCACCCCTCGATATTTTGAGCTTCCCCTTGAGAATCCGGTACTTTGACGACGGAGTATGTGCACGAATTCTTCTTTGGTTAGATTCTTCATCTGCCCATTGACCAGATTTAAGCCACCGCTACAAGTAAAATAGTTTTAGTTGTACATTAATACCATGTACACAACTAACCTGTTTCATATCCTCCTCATAATCACTCAGATTGAAGTTGATATCAGCATCAACACCCCTGAACTTAATAGCAGCACGATCATAGGCTCTGAACATAACATAGCCAGGTTTCAGATGAAGGAAATCAAAAACAAATCTACGAATAGTTTCAATAGCTAGAACTAAATCAGAAGTTTCAAATATTTACCTCGCCGCAGCATGAGCAGTGTCAAATCCTCCTAAATAAATGCCACACCAATGTGAGTCAAAAAAAATCTAAAAAATATAGTAAAAAAATTGTTGTCTGCAAGTTTGCAACTCAATCAAAATAAATCAATCATATCCATACCCAAATAGACTTGTTTTCCACAATCCCTGCAATAAATAAAGAAAAACAATCAAACAACTTAAGTTCGAATTCATATCCATTCAACTAACCAAATAATTAACTTACCCAAAATTAAAAAACCCTAAACAGATCATTTAGATCCAACGGATAGATGAAGTGGTAAAATACAACTGAGCGAACCCCTTTAACAACTTAATGAATGACATATTCAGTGAAGATTAATTTCAACCAATTCGGGAAAGAAATCAATGAACCCAAAATTAACCCAATCAATCATCAATAAGCTAAAATTCAACCGAAGGACTTAACCCGTCAAATTCATAGGCCCAGCAAATTTTATAACTGAATTCTGGAAATTCCATTCAAGGCTAAACGACCAAAAAAGATGGACAAACAATTAAACTGAAATTTCAGAAGTTAAACACTCACCAAATATGCGATTCCCATCTCCCAGTCCTCCTGTAGAAAGTTACTCCTCTATATTGCGAGCTCCTTGACCTGGGCCCTCGCCTGCTCTTCTTCACCTGTTGTGACGCTCGCTGCATCCCCTGCACCTCTCCACTTTCCTTTCTCTCGAACGACCGATCGATCCACTTGCCACCGGAGCTTTGCCCCTCTGAACCCATAGCATCGCCCCCAGCTCCCTGCACCGGAAACAGTTCCCTCGTGACTACGGCGTCGTTTTCATTTTTGTCACCTCCACTCCCAATCTTCAGTATGTCGAAGCTGAAGGTGAACGCGTTCCCGCTAGTGCGTGCCGAGGACGACTCATCGTCCTCGTTGACGATTGAGGAATTCGACGTCCCCGATTCGTCCATTTGGTTCCCCGAACCTTCAGTTTGGTTATTGGCAAAGCCTGCCCCCGAGTCAGAGTCCTGAGTGGACTCGGCCGAGGCAACATTGAGGTTAAGATCTAGCATCTGGTCGAATTCAGCTGAATTACCAACACTGCAGCTTCAAAATTAGAAGCAACGATTGCCGTTACCTCCGGCGATGAATCCAGCGGTTGAGATCGATCCGATCAGTACTATTTACTACCAAACAGCATACGAACACCTCACCGGAGCTAAGAACTTGCAGCTTTTGAAAAACGCAACAAGAAAAAGAAAAACAGCAAATAAAAATCAAAAAAGAGCTTTAAGTTTTTTGAAGAACAAAGAAAAAAAGAGCAAAAGATATAAGCTCTATTCCTCTCTCTACCGGAAACCCATGGACAGAGCTCCCGGTGACCGGAGAAGAACCAAGGCTTGGATAATACGGCGTCGTTTAGAATCAAGTGAAACTGAGAAGTTACTGCATTATTACTCAATGGAGGTGTATCGGCGCCGGAAAGAGATGATCGGCGGCCGGCTAACTGATTTCGCGGAGTAAACAGGAAAAAATTTAGGGGGCAGAGAGGGACGAGACGTGTGAGAGAACATTACAGAAGCATTTTGATATTGGTATTTGGTAAGAGGATGAGGAGACGGAATAATAATATATAAACAATTTCCCCTCTCTCTCTACTACGGATACCGGTTTGGCCGGTGACCGGTTTCTTGATATTGTGAAGAGATTTTTCGCCTGCTTTTGGGTGTATAAATCAGCGTGGTCTCGCAGACAGGAACAGCCGTCCACTGCAATTGACCTGACTCCAAACATCCCGTTTTTTCTTTTTCTTTTTTTAAGTTATACTTACAATTATTATAAAAAGTCATACACATAGCTTATTTAGTATTTTATTATAAAAAA